AATACAACAAGGGGAATGCAATAAAGACCGAAATGATAATAATAATAATTAAAATATTTATATTGCGCTATTTGACATGCATATATGATCAAATGCGCATTACATATAATAATTACAAATAGTAAAATTATAAACTATCTACAAATATTTAACATATATATAAAAATAATATAATATCGAATTAATAAATTATAAAAGTTAAAAAAAATTAAATAGGTGATTATGAATTATAATTATAAGTCATAAGCTTTCATAAATAAAAAGGTTTTAAGCGCTGACTTAAAACTAGAAAAAATACTATTATTTCTAATAATAATCAGGTAGGCTATTCCATACCTTAGGTGCTGCTGCCGTGTAGGATCTATCTCCTAATGTTCTTTTAAATTTTACACTTGGATCTAGCAAGGTGATACTGCTGTCTGATCTTAATAGTCCATTTTCGAATTCCAAGCGAATAACCGCTGTTTTATTTGACAGCAGATTCWMTTAYGCAARGAACTTAMCAAACACAAAAGAAAGCACGAGAAAATGTTGTAAGTACAATAGCGCTGACAATTTACATTTTACCTGAGTTGAGGCTAACCCTGTATTCCCAGAAGGCTCATAMCTTAGGTCTTATGGGAATACAGGGTTAGTCTCAACTTGGGGAAAATGCAAATTTTCAAGGCTATTGTAATAACGACATTTTTTCGTGTTCTCTTTTGTGTTTGGTCAGGTCTTTGCGCAAGAGAATCTGTTGTCAAATAAAGCAGCGGTTTTTCGCTATGAATTCGAAACTGGAGTATTGATACCTAGTTTTCGTCTTTGTTCTTACAAGTTCCTTGATATAACAAGGACTTAAATCATGTATAGACTTAAAGGTCATAACTGCTATTTTTTAAGTAATGCGGTAACGCACCGGTAGCCAATGAAGCTCGATGAGAACAGGTGTTATATGTTCATAGCGTGATGTATTACTAATAAGTCTCGCAGCTGAATTCTGAACACGCTGCAGTTTTCTTAGATGACCTTCAGGTACTCCATATAGGAGGCTATTACAATAATCTATGCGTGAAATTATTACGGACTGAACAATAAGTTTGGTTCGATCGTAAGATAGAAATTTCTTAATTTTCCTAATATTATAAAGATGATAATATGCCGATTGACAAATCTTATTGATATGTGTTACCATACTTAATGAAGAATCAAACCATGCACCTAGATTACGGACTGCTGAACTGGCTACGTCAACGCAAGTGTCGCCAACTTGTACATTTTTAATGTTAATCTTTTCAAGTTGAGCACGTGTTGCTATGATAATTATCTCGGTTTTGTCATCATTTAATGACAACGTTTCTGCAAGTATGTGTATGTTTAATTAAAAATTAGTACATGTAATCTGCAAGAGAGTCAGCTCAAACAAGAACCACTTTGTGGAACATACTGTGTCCAGGTTACGCTAATATATATTTTTACCAGCGCCGCGATCGATTCGATCGATTTGATCGATTTTGCGTATGATCTTCACATCATTTTTTTAAATATTTTTATCATTGCAGCGAAAGTTTAGCATTCAGATTAAATTCGCATTATCCTCAGAGAATTTAAAAGAGTTTGCTTTGCACTTTAGAAAGAAAAAAAGAACAAGTATATTTTAAAGAAAAAAAATAAGAAGCTACTCGAGTAGAGAATCGAACCCAAAATCGTCAGTTCAACGTCGCTATTCAAGTACGATCTTGCGTGTAAAATAWGTAAAACAAATATCTACAGGAAAAATAAGAATAAGTATATTTCAGCAAAACAAAAGGAAAGAAAAAAGAATCGCTTAGAAGTGATCGAGTCAAGAATCTAAGATCCTAAGTTCGACGCTATTCGAGTACGATAGTCTGTGCAAAAATCAAAATAATGGCTCGAAAATAATTGTTAAACGAATATCTACAAAAATCAACATGACAGTTTAAAAATAAGAAAAAAATAAGTCGAGAATCAATGCCGCGAAGCTAAGTTCGACGCCATTCGAGTGTAATATTCTGTGTAAACAAAATCTTCAGAAAATCAAGATGACTATAACAACTATATTATATTAAAAAGAAAGAAAGATAGGAAAGAAAGATAGTGCTCGAGACGAGATTCGAACTCGCGATCTTCTGCTGGACGCCGCGCTGTTCGAATTATCATCTTGTTCCTTAAATTTAACAAACGCGGCTCGTAAATATTAATAAAACAAATTGCTACGATAAAAATCAAACATGACTAGAACATCTATATTTCAGTTAATAAAAGAAAGAAAGACAGAAAGAAAAAAGAATTTTTCAGAAGTGCTCCAGTCGAGGATCGAACCTTGGAACTCTGGATTATGGGTCCATTGGGATTTCTAAACTGAGACGTGGAAAAAATAAATGATAAAAAAGTCCCTGCATTTATAAGCGTGTCGCAGGCCTTCTGCCTGGACAGGGTAATAAAGATGGCTTACGGTCATTGAACTTGTGAAACAACAACATAGTTCTGGCAGTGATAATTGCACAATCAGAGATCAGAAGAGTCTACAAGAGGATGTCAACAGGGTTCAAATTTTGTTCATTACYTTGGAACGTTTTCCAAAATGACGTGGTAACAAAATCAAATAATGGGAATCTAGKAATATATTCTGATGATCATCAAGTGTACGCGAGTGGAGACAACATTGGTTGAGGAGGACTGGGGAAAGGAGGATAAAACTCCCTTTTAGCATAGTTAATTAACTATCAACTATGCTTTTAGACCAGATTTGACCATTCGCCCCGGAGTGAAAACATTGCGTTCCTTTCCGGTACCCCAAAATACACATCAATCCAGCTTATAGATCATACTTTTTCAACAGTATTTCGGACAATTAACCTAATCTATAGTCATTGTTTTATAGTAAGTGTATGTTTTTACCATTTTGCCCTCTTCTCCTAAGTCTTGCTTGAGTTCCAATGTCTAGGTCAGTTACAACGAGGTAGTCATGTACAACATCAAAGTCTTGAAAGGGAGGGAAAACCTAAAACAAACAAAGACAAAAAGACTTTGAATTTTGAAATGTTGCATTTTGGACAATATAGTAAGATTAAGCAGAGCACTGTCGAAACACGTTGACTATTAAAACTTTTTCATATCAGTCTTCATTTTGTGATGGAAACAAAATAGTTGATCGAGGTTACTCAGTCATTTTTAACTCCACTATGTATTAAAGAAGGACTGCTACTCCACTACAACAATATGCAGAAAAAATATACCAGAAATTATGGGATATTATCGCCAATATCTTTTTCAGAAAGTACTAGTGCTAAGCAAATTCAAAAAAACATTGCTGATGATATCCCATAATTTCTGATATATTTTATATATACTTGGAGCAATTTTATTTAATCCGTGAAATAAAAACTAAATAGTAATATGAGGATTGAAACAGAACATCAACCCTTTCCCTACAGCCATCGGTATCATCAGTACCACAGGAGTGATGCCTTCAAAAATTATAATTTCCCAAAATGGCTAGATGCCGCTGAAAAACWTGCTCTTACAAGACAACAAGACAACAAATTCAATATTCCAATTCAAAGTATGTCTCGGAAATCAAGTTTTTTGGTCGAATAAGTCTTTTSATTTGACGTGGATGCTCAATTCTGAATTTTGCACTTTGCATCATTATCTTTATCTTCAAAGTCTGGACCCGACTTACATTAAAGGACTGATTAAAGGACCAGGTTGTCTCCCTTTGGAACTCTCTTTGCTTAATGTAAAACTGCTCTATCAACATACCTTATCTTCAGGCAAACATTTTACCAGAAACTTTCTTTTGATACTGTCCGGTGCAAAACGATCACCAACATCAATGCCAATTCTTCGGCACACAGCCTACAAATAATTATGAATTCAAATTAGATACGAAAACCACCCTGTCTACCAGGTCATTTGCAACACGAAGATTGTGTAAGCAATCAAATAGCTATAGGAGGGATATAGATTATAATGTGTGTGGTAAACTAATTAATCATCATCCACAYCGTACATGTTAGTTCCAGTCTTCGTTCTTTTTGGGGTTGTATTTCTTTACTCTGTACACCTTTGTAGGGGCAAGCTGCTTTTACTTGTGTGCACACTAAGTACGGCTTCAGGTATATTTTGTGTCTGTGTTGTTGCTGTTGTGCTAAGAGATGTTGTCATCATCCCAATGTTGTGTGGTATAGTTACCAAGGGCTGTTATCACAACTTGTTGTAAACACAACTTGTTTACCTCTTCCTTGAAAGTAATGTCTGAGTTCATTTGCTTGGCATGCAATTTTCAATCATTTATTACAGATCTGCTCTTTTTTCTTTCTTTGGAGTCTTGAATTGTTCTCACAATTTAAATGCAGGGGTCTTTACTTGTTCTTATATAGTGTTGTTATATCTTGATCTTTATAATTTCGTATTGTGTTGCTAATTCCTTCATATAATTGTCAAGTAATTGTCTTGTATATGGTGTTTTTTTTGTATTGAAATACACATATATACAACTTCAAAATACTAACATAGGGCGCGTCGACAAAACCTATGCTGTTTCCAGGAAACAAAATATATCAAAAGCACCTTGTAATAAATTATCACTCTGATTTGTGCCACTAGTTTACTCTTAAATTAAACATTCGAGCGATGTGTTGTGTGCTGGAGAGCACTGACTTCTCTCTCAACTTCCCTTCTTTYTCTATTATCCATCCACGGACAAGAACATCTCGGCAAGAACAACTTGCTTTGTCTCATGGTTGACCAGGCGTGCGTGGATTCTATTCACGCTGACAAATGTTCCCCATATGCCTGTACGTGCTTCGAGGTCAGAGTCTTCTGCAGAGCAGAATGGCTCCGGAAATTCCAGCTTTAATCTTCTTTCTAATTTATCTCCGTATTTGGACTCACCATTAAAACACAATCTGTATTTTGTATCAGCTAAATCAACTGCATGTAAAATGTAAATCAACTGATCTGTATGTTTTCAGTTGACATTAAATCAAATGCAGCCAAGATAATTTTTTTTTTCGAGCATTGAAATAATCTTMAGAGGGACCATGATCATGGATATTGGCTTCAATTTTCATCGTTAGTAGTTAATGGACTTAACTTTCACTGAATCCATGATTAAAATTTTTGTCTTTGGTCACTACTGGATAGCATTGTTAGAAACCAATTATTTATCTTTAAATGTAAAAGAGWTTCTCTTCCAAAAGAAACCAGGAGAGTCACATTTCTAAAGGAAGTTCACCAGAATCAATTTGAAAACATTTTGACTGAGTGCAAAGCGTGTTAGCTCGTCCAAAGCCAATTTTCCTGATATGTTAAATGTAAATTTATAAGTTTTAATGATAATAAAGTACATTTTACAATACACATTTTGCAGAATTCAGGAGGGGCTTAGATTATAGTTTTAAAATGAAAATACTAGGGTTGAATGCTCGACAGATATGCTTTTTACCCAGACTGCATATTGCAGGCATCACAAATATTGCCTGCCTTAAAACTCAAAATGCTGTTGAAAAAGCATGATTTTGAGCTGGATTGAAATGTATTTGGGGGTACCGGAAAGGAATGTGTTCACTCCGGGGCGACTGGTCAAATCTGGTCTAAAGTGGAGTTTTCTTCCACTCGCCTCAGTCCTCCTCAGCCAAATGATAAAAGTGCAACTGAACCCTTTTTAGAAAATCATTTTTAAAATAGGCAAATATGATGCTAATCATTGTCTTGAAGAAAAAAAAGTTGTAGAAAAAAAAGTTGTTTGAATTTTATTTTTTGAGTTAAAGTCATTTGAAAATTRAAAATGCTAATGAAGTGACGTCAATCAAAGGCTGGAGGTTTTTCATTGTTTGCGATATCTTGTGTTCGGTTGAAATGCTCAAATCAGCAATAACAGTGATATTCAAGAGCTAGAAATGTCATCTCCGATATAAAAAAAGAGTAATGTATTTTTTTAGTGATTTTGCATATTAAATCATTCCTTAGTAGACGTCACTTAATTTGCATTTCCGAGATTCAAATATTTCTAAATCTGAAGATATAAATTTGAACGTTTTTTCCCTTTGCAGAAGTGCTTAGCAGCATGTTCTATTTCGAATGAAATGACTTTCTAGTAGGGTTCAGTTGCACTTTAATTCAAATGATTCAAATGATGTACAGACGATACCTTCTTTGCTTAAGTTCTTTGACCTCTTCAGGCCACCAGACAGAAGTGTTTAGAGCAATATGTGACTTTGGGATGATGTTAGCAATGTTGAAAGAAAGTTTGAAATACTGATTACCTTCTGTCAGTAATTTGCGCAAGAAATGATGAAAAAATTGCATAAGAATGTAAACTTTTCAGGACTATTTAATATGTAGTGTTAGAACTTATTTTGTTATAATTGTCCGATAACAAAACGAGCAGGGGACTGATTTTTGTTTAAAGTGATAGAATCTAAAGAAATCTGTTGTCGATAGATAAAGTCTTTAGAAATGGAAATATAATTTTTCAAAAATTTCAAAAATTACAAATTAGAATGTATGTTTGGCTGGACACCACACATTTCTTCGTAATTTTGGCATGGTTTGAATGTACTTTTATTGTAACTTTATTGCTATAAGTTTAAAAAAACATCATGAAACTTAGTCAGTGCGCCTTTTGTATGGTGCTCTCTTACATTTTGGGGTTATTCTTCCTGGAAGCATTACTTAATCAGATTTTGAATTAACCAGTTCCTTTTTCTTTTTGTTATAGGCCAATTATAATAGCCTTTATTAATCATTAATTAATATATTGCATTATTCTTACATCAGTTCGGTTTTCATTGAATATAACCCCTGGATCTATATTCCCAGGTGTTTAAAAGGCGTGGCCGGCTTTGAAGTATCCCAGAGAAGATTTGGGGCTAACGAGCTAATTAATTGGCTGAGGGGGATATACGTTAGTATGTAAGGAGAATATGCCATATTCCCCTTGATAAAGCGCAGGGTACCCATTCTTGATCTTTTACTGTATATTACGATCATCAAATACCGCTCTCTTGAAATATTTTCATTGAAATATTTTCTTCAAATACATTTCCTTTATCCAGTCCAAGTCCAAGCCTACTGAGTGTTTAGCTAAAACACTGAAATACATGGGATGTTTTGGTTCGAAAAATAAAGTTCCCCAAAAATAATGATTTAACTAAAGGTGGATCACAACTAATGAAACGCAAATGTTGTACTTTTTTAACTCGCTCGCTTCGCAGAAGTATTTAGTCAAATGTGTTAAAATTTTGATAACACATGCAGTGATAATGCAGTTGTTGACAGTTTTCAGTATTCAGTAATTTATTGGCTGGTTTTAAAGATACAGCGCATTTTCGAACAGTGATAATTCCAATTTTCGACCATTTTACTCTAAAACTAACAGTCAGAACATTTCGAAATTTTCAGAATTTGTATATCTCATAAAACTACAGAAGGGCAATGAATTTGGTTGGAAAAACTTGGGCAGAAATAAAGATATGAATGCGGCTCAAAAACGAGCCCAAAATTACGACCTACATAGAATAAACAGCCGTATATAAATAAATATAATAACCGACTTCCATGATCTTGCGATATGTTGTACATCAATTTGTCAAAATTAGTGTGTTTAAGTAATGGTCCGAGTAAGAAGCAGGCAAGCAAACGGCAATGGAATGCATGAAGGTGCTAATTTTGTATTGTATAATCCAGCCATCTCATTGGTTAAAACATTAAAATCTGACATAATTTCAAAAGTTATCGCATTTTTTAATATTT